TAAGATATTTTAATTATTTTTAGTATTAAAGTTATCTATTTTTTGTAGTTAAATAAGTTCAAATTGCTTTTATAGATAGGTAAAGATCTATATTTTTATAAAAATAAACAAGATAAATAGAAGATTTTTGTTCAATCAATAAGTTTTTATTTATAAAAGAATTACAAATAAAAATCTTTATTAAGATTATCAATATCAGGAAATTTTTTTAATGAAGATTTCCGGAGAACTCCACCTGTTAAAAATTTTTTGGAAATTTTCGAAAATTGTAAAAAAAAATAATTTCATTAATTTTAATAATAAAAAGCTTCAAAGATTTTTTATTTCAAAAATTTTAGAAATATTCAAAGTAATAATATATATATTAAAATAAAATTGACCAATAAAATACTGATTAATTTAGTCAATTAAAAATTTAATTTATAAGTTATCATAATTTAGTCAATATGATTTCAATATTATTTCATTTTTTAAGCTATGAAGTAATTTTTAAAAGGTAATGAAGAGTAGCATGTGATCATAATATGACATAGCTTCTTGAGATTTTTGTTATATAAGATTTCTAAAGTTCTTTTTTTTTATTATTGTCAAATAAAAGAAAAGAAACATATAATATGTTTTAACAAATGATTTCAAGTTCAAACTCTGATAAAAAAGATACTTTAAAGTTTTTCAAAAAGCCCAAGAGTACTTCTGATACCCTGGATTAAAGATCAACACCTCAAGCTGAAATAGAAACAGAATTACCCAGAAGTAATTAAGATCTTTCAGTTATATTCTAGAATCTTCGATTATTAGGAGGTTGCCCGAAAAATTTTTAGGTATATTAAAAAAGATGTAACTATTTAAATAAATATCAATTTATATATTTAGTTTCTAATATAGTAATTGAGAAACTTTTGAAATCCCACGAAAGTCTTTATAAGAAAATTGATCAGTTATTAGAACATCAAAAAGCTATCGAGAATAAGATTACCCACCTAGAAACCAAAATTTATACAAGTAAATATTTAATTACCGAACAGAATTTTATTAAAGTAAGGTTTAATTTTTTAATCTTCAAAGAACTTTAATAAAATTTTGGATTTTATAATAGTGTGTGGTCAAAAGTATTATGAAAAAAGTTTTTTTTTGAAAAAATATATATGAATCTTGCAAATTTTTACCAACATACAGAGAAATATTTTTAGCGAGAACATTTAGAGTTCTTTGAAGACCTCACAAAAAAATGTTGAAAGGTATATTATGAAAAGCATATTCATCAAATAGTAATTATTACAGTTATTAATAATATAAATAAATTTATTAACAATATTATTTATTTAATAATTTGTGAGATAACATAGATCATTTCAAGGGATTATGGCTTTGAAAATCTAGAATACTATATTTTTAGTCTTTGGCGAAAACTCTCTGAATACAATCAATACAAATGCAACTGCTATTGAAATTACTATCTGAAAAAAATTATGAAAAACCTAAGAGTGCTTCAAAAATCTTCATATCTGTCCTAGGGGAGAAAACCAAAGTGTAATGACATGCATTCTCGAAAAAGTCTGGCCAAAAAAGAATGCCTTTGAAAAATAAGTTGTATTTGCTATCACAATATACTAAATGATTCTAAATCTGAATAATGAAAGTATTTTAATTGATGAAGCATTAATTAAAAGCAAAATAAAAAAAAATAAGATAAGTTTTAAAATTCTTCGAAATATTATAGAGTTATTTGTTTATTAATAATATATTTTAGAAAAAAATTAAAAAGAAAATCAGATTTATGAAAGGCAATTTAAGTGATAAAGATTAAGAAATGTATAAGCAGGAAGATATTGAAATTCAAAGTACTCTGAAGGAAGTAGAAAATAATGAAAACGATCCAGGATTGCAATCAAAAAATATAGAAATAGAAAGGTTTATTTTGACAATGAGTAATATAAATGTAAATGATAAATAAAAATATATAAAAAAAGTAATTTTCAATAAATAAAATTTTAAAATAAATATTTTAATAATAATGTGAAATTATTTTATTAAAATTTAAAAATTTTGAAAATCGCTAGTGTTTTATATATAAATCTCGGTTTAGAGACTTCAAATAATGACAAAGTGACTCCAGAATTTTATACTTAAAAATCTTTAGAAATTATTGACAAAAATTTTTCTTAATGAATATACTATTCCTTAAATATTATTATCTATTGATTATTAGTAGAACTCATTAGTTTTACTTGTAATAAAAGTATTGTTTGAAAATAATTGTCAAAATAAAATATTTTTTAAATACTTGATCTTTTTTTGAAAGAACTTTTTTTTTAAATAAGTAGTTTATATCTAAAGATAATACTATCTCTAAGATTTAAGATCAAATTATTAACATATATAAATTTTAAAATATTCTCTTAATTATAAGTTTTATTTTTTTTAAAAAAAAAATCTCCTATTAGGTTAGCTATATGTGCTTTATTAGATATATGTATACTTTATATTAAAAATATATCACTAAAGTTAAGTCTCTATCTAACTTACTCATTTCTATTTTAAGAATTATTAAAACTCTAAGTGCAATTTCGGGAATGATTTATCACTCTGTTAGCAGTTCAGATAAAGATCCTTCCAACTGTTAACTTCATTACCTGCAGGTCATTACTATAGATTCTTAGTTATAAGTCTTATTTAATTTTTGGATAAATAATCTTCTATACAAATATCCAAGTAAAATAACATTAATAAAGTTGGGTTTTTAAACCTTTTTCCTTTTATTTGAAAAAAAAAGAAGTAAAAGAAATTTTTTTCTTTTTTTTAAAAAAAAAAAATATAGAAACACTGTACTTTAGTGAATAATCTATAGATATAAATATTATTCTTAATATTAGTTCTTATTAAATAATCAGTAGTTGAGAAAATTTAAATAACTTGATTGATAATATATTCACATCCTTCTTTTTAAAATGTACATTAATAAAATTTCAACATATTAGATTAGATTGAATAGTATAGTAATAGATAAAGTGAATCACTTGTAACAAACTATTTTTTTACATAGCTTTGAGTATATGATTTTATAACTTGCTTGTATCATTATGTATTTGTTTTGTCTTTAATAAAACTGACTATTAGGTGTTATAAAAAAATAATAATAATAAATAAGTTAATAAATAAAGTTAAATTAATCTATAATAATATATGCAATAAAGGCAAATTATGTTAACCTGACTATGAATTAAAATAAAAAAAAATTCGAAAATTGCTTTTAACTTATAGAATTTGAAGATTTTTGTAGTAATATAAATAATAAGTTATATTGTAAAATATATACAGTAGATATTATTAGAAGTCAAGGGTTTAATATTCATATAATTGTTTTTAAAAATAATCATGTGCAATTACTCTTAGCCTTGAATAATGCTTTGCATGATCGCCACTGTATAATATACAGTATATAGACTTTATTGTAAAGAAAATTATATACTGTATACTGTATATTATTATATGAAAATATACTATCACCATCATCCATCTGGGAAACTAACGTGAAAACGTTCGGAAGCCGCGTAAATTTCCACGAGGTTTGCAAAACAGTTTTTGATAAATTAATACAGATACATTAATTAATATTGGGCAATTCAGCTGGAGATCTCCGAGGTTTCGAATTTTATTTCATGTATGATGACCGATTTAATGTCAGACGATATCGGGGATAAGGGCTCAACGGTTTCTTTGCATCATGATTTTATGCGGAAAGCTCTGGCACTTGTAAGTAATTGAGCAATAAATTGGTTTGGAGAAGTTTCATTAACTTCCTTTTAGGCAGAAGAGGCATACGAAAATAAAGAAGTTCCTGTCGGATGTGTATTCGTTCTTGAAGATGGGAATGAAAAGATTATTATTGGTAGCGGACGGAATCGAACGAACGAAACAGAAAATGTAAAACACATTTTTGATATCTTTGATTTTTTTTTTTTTTTGAATCCATTTTTCGCTCATTAACCTTTGCTCTAGGGGACAAGACATGCAGAACTAGAGGCAATCGATGAAATCCTTGCATCTCAAAAGTACACAAGTAATGTTTTTCAAAAGAGTACACTGTATGTCACAGTTGAACCTTGTGTTATGTGTGCCTATGCCTTGAGATTACTGAGTGAGTACATAGCATTTGTCATTAATGAAAGGTTTGTTCAATATTGTTTCTGTAAGATAACCTGGAAGATGGGCAAGCTATCTTATTTGGATTCCCCTCTAATATTAATTCTAATTTAAACTATAGTTTGCCCAATAAGGTGCAACAATCATATTAAAAACGTACAAACTCATAAAATATATTTATTGATAGGAATTAAACATGTCTACTACGGATGCGCTAATGAGAGATTTGGAGGAACAGGATCTGTGTTTGTAATCCATCAAGAGTAACTTTTTCTTTTAATTATGTATAGACTTTCTGCACATTGGAAGAAAAAAATCAAGATTCTTTAATTTTTTTTAGCTCAAATTTATCATTGCACCCACCTTACCCAAGTGAAGGCG